GCATTTCAAAGACAGACTTCGGTTTGTCTGAGTTGTAGAGTGGGGAGGAGGGGGTTACTGACACTTATTAGCTGCTTCAGAAGCCTCCTTTAGTTCAGAAACAGTGCTAAAATTTATTAACTTTTAAAAAAATTTGTGTTCCTCCTAGAAACTTTTGATTTCCAAATCAACGTATGCTTCCCATTCATTTAGTCTAGTTTTAGAGCCGGCATTTTCTAATTTTGCATGCAAAAAATTTAGGCACCAAAAGAAAACTGCATTTTGGCCATTTTAAGTTGATACCATTTCTAGTGAAATCTTCCCACTTCTGTAATGCACTTGCAAGTCAAGGCTTCCTCCAGGAGAGTTGATGAGGTTTGGGGTCTGGGAGTTTCTGGCCTTCAAGGCACAATTTCCCATGTTAATTTTAGTTTTATTTTAAAGTCTGTAAAGTCTGCACTTTATATTCTCAGAAAGCAACACCAATTAAAAAGCCAAAGTTCAAAACCAGCCAGTTTTTCTTCCCTCCAGTCCTGCCTGAGCCTGAATTCTGTCAACCCTTGACCTTTAGTTCCACCTCGAGGATTTAAGGCAGCAGCTCGGATAAAGTCAGGGCCTCAGACCTTGAAACAGGGTGTCCGGGGTTCCAGCTGAAACTCAACCAAGTTCACCCTTTGCAAAATGAGTAACCAGGGAGGCACAATGGGCCCCTGCTGGTCTCTGGCACCAGTCCAGGTCTGCAAGGTTGTCTTGGGTGGGTTTCTTTGGAATCCTGCCAATTGTGCCACGTTAATGTCATCATAGGAAACATTCAAACCTGTAGAGAATGTTTGTGAGTTTTTGAGCCAAACTGATAATAACTGCTGGGAAGCAACACCTCAATCAATGGATTGAGAAATGCTCTGGAAAATGGCAGCTTAGCACTTTACTTTATACATTAGAATCAAAGGAGGAGCCACAGCGGGTTACGTGAAGTCCACTGGTGATTGATTAGAGGAGGCAGGAGAAAGCAAAGTGGGGAAACCTCGGGGGACTGGATAGAAGGTAAATGATGGACACACACTTCTTTTACATAGGTAGGTGCAGGATAGTTAACAGTCAACAGTCAACATGATAACAATAACAATGAGGGGATCTGTGGTCTTAGCTTGTGCCCAAAGGGTTTGGAAAAAGGGAAGTTACCTTGATATGCCAAAGCTCTGTTTTCGATGCAAAAAGACAACAGACAGGCTTAGTTAAGGTAAACATTGACTTTTGTTAAGGAAAAATACTGGCCTAGGACATGACTATCCACCATGAACTGCTCTTAGTTAATAAGTTTTCATTATAGACCATCCTGTTAGAATGTACTGGGACATGAAGGACCTAAGTCACTGCCTATACTGGAGCAAAGAAGGTATGCGTCATGGCTAAATACCTGAGCATGAGATTCCCTATTATCAGAAGCAACTGAGGCATAGCCATTGGGATCCTGCTGGAAACCAGCTGAATCCTCACTGCTCCTCCCCTCTCCCCTGAGCCTTTCCCAGAGCCAAGGTCTGTAAATCTCCCAGACTTTCTGTTGCCAGAATCAGCCATCCCTGATCAGAGAAGGCTGTCTTAAAAATCTACACCCAGGACACCTGGGGCATATCAGCAGGGTGATCCACCCTACTTGGGGGTTCTGCTACACACCCGTAAAAACATTTCTGCCCTTTCCCTTGCTGCTGCAGTCTGCTCAGACTCAGCCTACCTGATCACAGTGTCCTGCCTCAAATAAAAGCCCTTAATTGGATCTTTGTGCCTCCTGGTCCTTTCTTAGCCACTTTTGTGGTTGCTTTAGGTCTGAGTTTGTAAGGCTGCCTCGCAGTCCTCCCCTAAGCTTGTCAGGTTAATATGTGGCCCCTCTTCTTCCACAGAACTCAAAAGCCAAGGTCCAGCTTTACCGGTAACCACTGGTGCTGTGTCACTGCCAGCATCACCGGTAACCTCTCCCCAGCACTAGGTTTGTTAGGGGAGACCCTCTCCATCAGTCAATAGTCACATTCAGGTTACACACAGAGAGGGAAACAGTACACAGGGGAAGCGAGCAGAGAAAGAGCCTCTGGAGAGAAGTTCCAGTCACTGACTGAGTCTGCAGGTAGAAAGACAGGGGTGGTCTCAAGCCCAGAGGCTGTGGTGTGGCCCCATCTCAGGGAGTGTCAGGGCTCCAAGCTCGAGCGCTGGGTGGTCAGAGCTGTGAGTTCTCACAGCCCGCCAGGGGTAGAGATCCCACCCATATCTGTGTCCAGACTTGTGGTTTGGGGTGTTTGTTACACCCCATAACCTCAGTCTTGACACAGCACTCAACATCATGGTCATGGCTGATAGCGACTCCATACTGCATTGCCATAGGTGTCCATAAAGCCTGTGCTGCTCTAGCTCGCCACTCTGGTGCAGCTCACTACACACATACTCACCATTGTCACAGTATTCAGTACAGTAACATGCTGTTCAGAGTCATAGTCTAGGAGGTGTAGGGGACAACTTCTCACACTAAAATACTCTTTGGCATAGGATTATTTTAGGTTGGTTAATTTTAAGACACAGCAGACAAAGAAGGCACTCTGAAAACCAAGAACCAGTTACCCTTGGTAAAAGGCATTTACTTTGTGAGGAAAATCTCCATGGGCAAGGGCATCACCCTGGAAGATCAGGTAGGGAATGACCTCATCTTTAGAAACTCTTATCTGTGAAGAAGTCAAAGACTTAAATCTGTACAACTACTTGACCCTTGTTAACTGTGCTTTTCTTGGTAACCTTCCATAACTGATTCTTCCCCCCAATATGTTATTTTGTCTGCAGCGGCAGATGTTAGTTAAGGTGGTGGCTTCAGCCATTTTGGTGAGTTACTCCCTTTTTCTGGGTCTCTCCCATGTATACAGGAGATAGACATATTATTAAACTGCAGTTTGTTTTTCCCCTGTTGACCTTTTATTATAGGGCTTTCTCAGCCATGAACCCAGAAGGGTCAAAAGGAAAATGTTTCCTTCCCTACAGAGCAATAGGCTACATCATATAACCTAGGTGTGTTGTAGGATATACCATATAGGTTTGTGTAAGTGCACTCTATGATGTTCGCATTAGGATGACATTGCTTAAGGATGCGTTTCTCAGAACGTATCCCTGTCATTAAGTGGCAAATGACTACAATGAAGTCACCTAGATGAAAGGTCCGAAACACAATGCTCAAATGGTCCAGTACAGGGGCTCTTCCTGAGCTTCAGTCCTGGGAGGATCCTGGCCCAGAGTTCCTATTTGCTAACCAGTACTTGTTCTCAGTTCCTGGTTTCAAACCTCTTGGGTGAGCTCTTGGTCACAGCTTGTGACTCCTGCACAGACCAATCACCTGCGGAAGGTATTGGCCAAGCCAAAGCCTATCTGAAAAGATTGATTCTGATGTCTATTGGGCCGAGGGATCTGTTTTGCATATTCCCACCCCTATCCAATACTCATCCAATCAAAATGAGCTAGTCAAGGACCAGCCCCTCCAGAACTGTCCCACCTCAGGGTACGTTATTGTGCCCTGGGAATTACCCACCTGCTTACTGGTTTGCTCCCCCAGATGTCTCAAGGACTACTATTTCAACAGCCAGAACTGGCAGTGACTCTGACGCAGCCAAGCTGCCTACTAGATAAAGGTCAAACCTTAGCCTGCATGTTCATTTAGTGTGTTCTCTGCCTGCATGCAGTCAAGCCAATCTCTCCAGGCGCTCCTCCCCCAACGGAAAAGGTCTTTCTGCCCTGCAGCCATAAAAGTTTTCTGGCTCCCAGGCACTCCTTTCTCCACACAAATGGAATCGAGCGCCCTCACACACAGCCCCTCTCTAATATCCGTTGCCATGCTGTGCACAGCCCATGCCTGTGGGGAATGGCAGTCCCTCCTGAGAATCCTTTCTCAGATTTCTGACAATTCAGCCTGGCAGTGAGGTGTTAATGACAAAGAGAAAGCATGGCTGTAATGCCTGAGGCTAGGCCATTTCTACTAGCACCTTTCCTCCCTACAAATACAGTCTCCTAAGGCTTTCTTCAGATAAATGAAAAATGTATCCATAACGTCTTTGCAGGTGTGCACTGTACACCTCACACTTCCCTTTCTGTCATGCATTATTCTCTCTCCCCAGGCCTCATTAAAGTTCAGTGGGAGAGTGGTAAGTGCTAACATCAAATCCAGTTGGATATTAGTGGGTCAGTGCTACCATGGGAGGCCTGTAAGGCAGACAGGGAGTGGGAGAGAGAAGATCACACAGAGGAAATCCAGACCAGGCATCCTCTCCTACCTAGTGTATGGTGGAGCCTTGGAGAGTGGAACATGCGACTCTGAGCATGGGAGGTAAAGGAGACATCTTTTCCTCCCCCTCTCCCTGCCTCTGAGGAGACAGAAAAATCACAGCAGGTAGGAACAGGGATGGGAGTGGGAGGGGCTCCATCAACAATTCATAAGAGACTAAACAGGTGCCAGAAGGCTAGGCCCTCACTAGGTAAAGCCATCACATAGAAACACACACACACACACACACACAAAACTGGAAGGAAAATTTCCAAATTATCTCTCAGTGGTGAAACTTCAGAGTTTTCTGTTCTTTATCCTGGTTTTCTATTTTTCCTACAAGGCATATATATTATGTTTGCACTTAACACAGTTATATACACATACATATATATATATAAAACAGAAAGCGCAAGGGGCTCAGCTAGTCAGTGTAGTGCCCATCCCTGGAGACCAAGAAAGTCCCCTCCTTCAAGGGGACAAGGAAACCAGCTCACTGTTGGAGTCGCAGTGACAAGAACCTGTCCTGGCTGGTGGGGGGGTGGGGGGGCGGCGCTCAGAAAGCTGCCTCGTTTGTTTATTTTTTGTACTGTCAGAGCAGTAACGGCCTTGTGAAGACCTCTCTCACAACCGCTCTGCAGGGGAGTGTTGAGGCAAAGCACAGTCATTCTCCCTCTGTCACAGACACTGAGCAGAAGGGGAGAGGGGACAAGCCTGGGGTTTCCTCACCCACCTGCTGAGGTCAGAGCAGGGCACTGGGCCCCAGGGACAGATATTCCAGATCATGCGTTTTCTTTCCCTTCTGCAGAGTTTCATGAACTTCTCTTCCTGCTGGGTGGATTTTCATTTCATGTCGTTGTCCCTGGCATTATTTTTGCCACTGCGCCTACCACAGTGAGTATCACAAGTTCCCCCAAACTAAGGCGTCACGGTGCCAGAGGGCACACTTGCGGAGGCTTTGTAGATGCAGAACGTCTGTCCAGGTCCAAAGGCTTATTTGCACCATAAAATCACACAGGGTTCTTGTCCAGTAATGGCTCTCTTACCCGGTTAACTAAAAAACCACCCAAACTGGCAGAACAGGGATGGGATTACTTTTCTGTGGGTCTTGTGGTGTTTAAAATCCATGTTACTTTTACATAACGCAGAAAGAGCCCTAACCAAATTATAAAAAAAAAAAAAACCCAACCTCAACCGAAAACTTTTCTGAGTGCAAAAGCTGCGGGGAGGCCAGTGTGGGGCAGAAAGCCCTTTGTTTCCTCGCTTAGCGGTTGACTCTAGAAAAGGAATATTTTGGAGCTCTTAATCCAAAACAGAGAATTCACCTTCCTCCTCTCTGCCGCTAGACATTTTAGACTCCTCGGCTCCAGGGCTGCTAGTTTTCAAAGTTCCCAAGTGTTTTTGCGGTTCGGGTAATTTGCTTGCTTCGGCGGAATACGCACCTAGAGAAGGGCAGGACCAGCCCCTTCAGGCGAGCAGTCTCCCTAAGCCGAGCGCTGGCCGGCTGCGCCCGAGGGTGCGCAGGGGGCTGAGAGGAGCACCCCGGCCCCTGGCGCCCGGCGGCCGCCCGCCACTTCCAGCTCACTCTACTTCACCCTTCCCAAGTCACAGGGGGCGACACGGTCACGGGGCGACACGGTCAATGGGCTCCCAGACCTTCCGGACTCACCGCGGGGCCCGCCAGGACCAGGAGCGCCCTCAGCTCCTCTTGGAAGTTGGACAGCCGCAGGCAGCGTGGCCCGCGGCGCTTAGGGGCGGCCTCCGGGTCTCGAGGTCCGGCCCCGGGCTTCTCCGGGGACTCCATGTGTCTAGCGCGCCGCGATGCAGGAGTGCAGAGGTTGCTGCCGCCCGCAGGGCCAAGGGCTCACTCTACTCAGTCCCCGCCCGGGCCCGCCCTCCGCCGCCGCAGCCCGAGCGCAGCCGGCCCGTAGGGCGCGCGGCCAGCCAGTCTTCGATTTGGTCGCGTCCCTTGCACCTCTGAGTGCAAGAACTGCTAGACTTGGAAGGCCAGGTTTGGAAAAGCTCTGGAAACAAAGCTAACGCGTGGCAGGGGCTGAGCCCGTCGGACGACGCCTCCGACGCCCGGGCTGTCCTGGGCTCTGCGCCTGGGGCGGGAGTGGGGAGAGGGACCGGGGTGTCTTAACGTTTGAAGCGTGGGTGGAAGCAGTTGCCACCCGGCCAGGCCAGCCAGGGGCGCGGTGGGCGCAAGCCCGCGTCTTGGACACCTCCGCTCTGGTAGTAGCTGTTCTGAAGACTGCCTTCAGCACAGGCCTTTAGCCCACAGAGTTTGGAATTTGCGTGATCTTTTTCTCGAACTACTTGTTCCATTGCAGAATTTAGAATCTATGAAGATAAAACACTTCCGAGTGGGATGGTTCGTGTTACGTTCTCGTTACGTTGGCTGGTTTTCTTGGATGTTTCATGTCAGCCTGGTGTGGGAAACAAGAGACCAGGAGCATCGGCAAATGTGGCTTCAAACGTGACACCTGCCACGTTCCACCTGGGCGAGCAGATGCAGCTTGCCTGCCTCCAAGAGCCTCAGTTTCTTCATCTGTACACTGAAAATATCTACGTCACCGGTTGTGATGAGGATTAAATAGGATTGTATAGGTGGACCACCTGCCCTCAACCTGGTGCACAATAGTTTCCTAAGATATGATAGTTACCAGGACAAGGATGGTTTCTGTGATAGTAAAACACCCTTTTGCTGTAAATGACCTAACATAAACAAAGAAAATGGAAAACGTAAATTTGGGGGCTCACATAATCAGGAAGTCTGGATGCAGGAATTTTAAAACAAACTCATCAGTGCTCTCTTTCTCTCCATCCGTCCTCCAGCCCCTCCCTCTTCCCACTAATTTTGATTCTCTCCTTGGTGTTATTCTTTTTCTGTGGGCAGCAGTCTTTTCCTGCTCTGGGGAGAGTGGCCTCTAGTGTAGGGGTTCACAATGAGTCACCCCAAAATGTGCTTCTGTGATATGCAGATTACTTTGGGCTAAAGGCAGTGAAGACCCTCAGGGCTCGGGACAAGAGCTTCTGCCTCCCCTCTCCAACTACCTAGAAGAATTTAAACTGGGGTCCTTGCTGGTAATAAGAGTTAGTATCAGAGATAACCTTTTCACCTGAGGCAGGTGAAGTACTGATTACTAAACACCCACTCTTCTTACCCTCCTACAGCAACCTTCCTCACCTCTGGAGCCGTGAGGCACCTTACCTGCCGTTAGCTCAGAATGCCATGTGCACGCCTCACTTTCCCTTCCTGTCCTGACCCTCTCACATGTGTAGGGTCTCTGGCTGTTTCTTGGAGGGGGTTCCCATGTGCACAAAATTAAATTTGATTCTCTCTTGTTAATCTGTCTTCTGTCAGTCTGATTATTCAATCAGCCAAAAAGAACCAGAAGGGAAGGCAGAATGTTTCCCTTCTCTCACATCAGAAACCCTCATTCCTATCTTTCCTACCCTATAAACCAGAAAATGACACTCCTAACACTTCACTTCTAACTAGAGACAAACAAACAAAAAAGAAGGGGAGAATTGTTTGGCTGTATGCAAGTCTCTCACCCATCCTTGGAACAATCATCCTGGCCAGGGAAAGAGGGTCTTAAGTTTGGCTGGGCCTGGACCATGAACTCAGCTCCATACCAAGAGGGCTGGGTGCTGGGACTGCAACAGTGCCACCAGATCTACACGTGAGGAGCAGAGGACGAGGAGTTTCCCAAAAGCAATAAGGATCCAACAGACAAAAATCCTAGAATCTACACTAGATCTTTAATCACTGCTACTCTTTAATAGTCTTCTGGAGTTTTGGACAATGTAGTAAGACATGAAACAAAAATGTAGTTACAAATATTAAGAAAGAAGAGGCAAAATATTACTTGTAGTTATAATTCTAGACAATACAAAGAAATCAAATGGGAAAAAACCTAACAGAAGTAATAAATGGGTTTAATAATATTGCTACATACAGGTTTTTCAACAGACAATATCAGCTCTTTATATTGGTAATAACAAATGAAAATTTTGGAAGAAGAAATCTCTTTCACAATAGCAATGAACAAACATTTCTTATGATGTGGAACATAATCCCACACTACTTACAGACACTGTATACAGTAACTTCCTTCCAAAGAAGACAGTATGGAAAGAGGAAGACACGATAATTTTACAGAGGAGAGACCTGGCAAACACTGCCTCACCTGTATGACCATGGCTAATATCAACAGTGGGAGGTCACGCTGATAGTATGGACCTGTGTTAGTTTCCTAATGCTGCTTAACAAATTACCACAAACTTGATGGCTAAAAAAAAAAAAAAGAAAATCTCAAAGGTTTATTCTTTCACAGTTCTGAAGGCCACAAGTCAGAAATCAAAGAGTTGGCCAGGTTAGTCCCTTCTGCAGGCTCACAGGGAGAAGCTGCTTGTCTTCTCTCCTAGCTTCTGGTGGTTGCCTGCGGTTCTTGGCATTCCCTGATTTGTGGTAGCATAACCTCAATCTCTGCCTCCACCATCACCTGTTTGTCTGCTTCTCTATTTTCTCTTCTTTTAAGGACACCAGTCATTGGATCAGGGCTAACCTAATCCACATGACCTCATCTTAACTTCATCACATCTACAAAGACGCTAGTGCCAAATAAGGTCACATTCTGAGGTTCTGTGTAGATGAATTGTGGAGGGACACCATTCAACCATACCCTTTGATGTGATGTGATAAAAATAGCACTTTACCTTTATGGTCTTTCTCCCCTCAACCCATGACCCCAAGTCTAAGCTTTAGAAAACACCAGAAGAATCCCGACTGTGGAATATTCTACAAAATTCCTGATCACTCCTCAAAACTGTCAACATCAACAAATTTAGGACATTTTGAAAAACTGTCACAGCTAAGAGAGTCTAAGGAGACATGGCCTGAAATGTAATAAGATGGTATCTTTGGCGAAATCCTGGAACAGAAAAAGGACTTAGGCAAGAATTACAGAAATAGGAATAAAGTATGGACTTTAGTTAGTAATCATGTATCAGTATCAATTCAGCTCCTGAAAGTTATTGTGTAACTACAACCAGAGCACCTGCTCCAATTTCGGCAGCAAATAGCTAGAAAATTCCCCGCAGAGATTTCACTCTCAATAGCAGGCAACACCAACATGGAACTGGGGGTTTGGGGAACAGTTTGAAGTTTTTCACTTGCAGAGAGAGCTGAGAGCAACATTTATAGCTTTTTTAAGTATTGTGTGGAGGTTACATTTAATCAGGAATAACATGCATATGAAAGTATTTGGCCTGTCTCTATGTTCTGGTTTTCTCCAATTTTCACACCATTGGGATAAGAAGTCAAAGCTAGATGCCATTGGGCCAAAACACAGCTGTTTTATATTGTGATAGATCCTCAAAACCTTTTTGTGTGTTTTTAATGTGAATAATTTTAATGTGAAATATATGTGACATTTATTTATGAATTTTAGGAAAGACCTGAATTAGTTAAAAACACATGCTGCTCCCATAGAAGACCAGTCTTTTCCAATTAATATATCAGGTTTTAATTCATTCCAATATATTTCATACTTTAAATTTTTAATAGTGATTCTAAAAGTATTTGAGAATATAAATAAGCAAGGATATTTTTTAAAAACATTTTCTGAAGAAACAAAGTAATGTGGAAAGAAGTAGCCCTATCAGTCAATAAATAATTTTTAAAACAATATGCAGTTAGCACAAGACTATACAACCAGATAAGGGAACAACAGGCAGCCAAAAAAATGACCTCATTGATAGGTGACATTAGAATTGACAAAAACCTCTCAAAATGGAAATCAAGAGAGGTCACCACAAAAATAGTACTCAGACGAGAGGTTTATTAAGAAGCTTGTACATGTAAGGGAGTTAGCCGCCAGGGAAAGGAATAATGGGCTGCTCCCCAAACAAAGGCTGGGGACAGTTTTGGAGAAGTTGGGGTGGGAAAAATGATGTCTAAGTATGTAGAGGTTGAGTCTCTTTGGCACTTGGACAGTGGAACTACGTGTGTTTTCATGTGTCACATGTCTCATTAGAATGTGAAATTTCCGCCCTGGCTGGCATGGCTCAGTGAACTGAGCACTGGCCTGTGAACCAAAGGGTCGAGGGTTGGATTCCCAGCCAGGGTAAATGCCTGGGTTGTGGGCCAGGTCCCCAGTAGGGGGTTCATGAGAGGCAACCACACAGTGAGGTTTCTTTCCTGCTCTTTCTCCCTCCCTTCCCCTCTGTCTAAAAATAAATAAATAAAATCTTTTTAAAAAAAGAATGTTAAATTTCTACCCAGGGGTGTGTTTTTCACTATTATAATGAGGGCCCAGCCTGTGTCATAAGTAGTTGAAAAACCTGCTTGACCTGGAAATATTAGGATTTTGAATGACATTACATTGTGTCTGCAGATTTACTCATAAAGAAAGTACCTAATTAAAATACAGAGTTTCGAGTTTAATCATTCCCCTAATCCAATCAATTTCTGGGACTTCTTAATGAATACAGCCATGCTGCTGCTTAGGGATGGGGATTTCTGAGAAATGCCTCCCTGGGTCATTTCCATGTGAGTGAACATCACAGAGTACACTGTGAAAACCTAGACGACAGTGTGGCCCAAGGCACACCTCAGCTATACAGTATAGCCTATTGCT